GCAATTCAAAGCTAACGTCACGTTAATGAGAATAAACAATACCGTACAGTGTCAATACTTTTGAAAATGAGTATTATATCCGGATACAACGTTTTAGTATCGATACTTTTGACAACCCTTAACCCCACAGAACGTGGGGGTGTCCGTACAGGAGAGGCTGGAAATCCAAACGCTCTGAAATGGGAAACAGAAGCGTTCAACAGATCTACGACCCGGCCGGATTCCAGCAATCCGCCAGATTACGAAATTTGTCAGATTACGACACAGAGACCTCGTGTGCCGTTATGTAATCAACGAGAAGGCCAAATTATGACATGGACACACACATACGGGATAATGGGTAAGTCAGCTGGATCCACGGGATTATTATTAGCACACATACAGGCTCCGGAGCTCAAATACAGGCTCTTTAGCCAGGCAGTTTCCTCTAAAACACAGATATATCGGATAAACTTTACCCAAAAGGGCAAGTTTAGTTCATTTCTTGCATAATAAAACAAATGACTACTTTTAAAAGAGAAATGCTTGATCATAATCGAACATTAAAGTGATAGGCAAAATGGTTGTAAATGAAATCGGTACTTTTATAAGACTAATCACAGTTAAAACAAGACTTAAAAATGCTCTTTACACAGAGAATAGGCAGTTCCCTCTAAAACACAGCGGCCTGATGGGAGAATCAGGGAAGCAGCCCTGGATTAAAAGAGAGTTGTTGATCACATTTTGTCCCATTCTGTATCGCATTAAACTCAATAAACCAGAAACTGTCGTTACATAGGGGTTAAACGGGACCATTTGTAATGACTGACTTTCATTTAGCTCCTTAAAACTGTTAACTTCACGCACCCTTGTGTACGAAACGTGGCTTTTTAGTCAGATATTTCTGATAAACTTTACCCAAAAAGGGAATTTTAGTTCATTATCTTGCAGAATAAAACAAATGACTACTTTAAAATAAGAAATGCTTGATCATAATCAAACAAAGTGATAGGCAAAATGGTTGTAAATTAAATCTGTGCTTTTATAAGAATAATCACAGTTAAAACAAGAGTTTAAAATGCTCTTTACACCACACGAGCAGTTCCCTGATAGGAGATCCAGGGCCTCAGAGGGAAAAGCAGCCCTGGATTAAAAGACAGCTGCTGATCACATTTTGTCCCAT